CGAGAAGCCTCCAAAAAAGCTAACCAACACCTTGGCCTTTTGCGGAGGGCATTCGGGCGTTTCGATCCTTCCATCTTTTCTCAGATGCTCAACGCCTACATTCGGCCTCATTCTGAGTACGCCATCCACGCCTGGCAGCCATGGCAAAAGCAAGACTTTACCGCTCTTGAACTGCCACAACGAAGGGCGACCAAGAACGTAAAGGGCCTGTTTCATCTCCCTTACCGATTGAGGCTGAAAACCCTCGGGGTCTACAGTGGACAATATCGACGCCTGCGTGGCGACTTGATAATGACTTATATGATCCTGAGGAATCCAAACCATTCTTGTCGTCACCTACTAAAGCTGAATAGCAATACCACACTCAGAGGACACCATCTAAAGCTGGACACACAATACAGCCGGTTGGAATGCCGCCGGAATTTCTTTTCCCTTCGTGTGTGTCAACACTGGAACGCTCTTCCCACATACGTTGTTTCTTCCCCCACGCTAACGGTATTCAAAAGACGTCTGGATGATTCGCTTATCCACTTACATTACGCTATATAATCAGAGATGTCTACGTCAACCAAACGCGAACAAACGGTGCTCATTCTCAGCTTTTGTGCTTCACTACTTACACACTGCTGTTGTGGAATATAGTTTCGGATATATTACAACTGCATTCATCAATTACCTCAGTCCAAGAAAGCGGCGCACGAGTAAGCGTTGTCGTTTCTTTTGTTCTTAAGACATACCTTCCCATATTACTTCTCATATTACTCTACAGTAACAATTCAGTACACATTCTAAAATGTTTATATGAATAAGGGGCACCTGAATCGCTAGACGCTTAAATTGACGATTTTTACCATCCGATGACATTCTCCTAACCCGCAAGGTCCTTTCGATGGGAGTCTCTTCGGTTTCGCCTTTCTGCCATTCAATTTGGTGTCGTTACCTGACCCAGTGGGTTGGTGAGCATACTGTACTTTTACAACTTTGAGAACGGCGCACATCGGTCAGGCGAGCGTGGTGGTTGCAAGGTCAAATCAGAAGTTGTCGATCACCCGGAAATCCGAGCTCCCGATTCGCTTTGGTTGCGAAACCAGGACACGTGTTTATTAGGCGTGATTTATCACCCACCAAACTCAACGTCGGAAATCGACTCAAAACTGAACCACGTTTTTCAGTTTGCTTTGAACAAGCCCTACATCCACATTCTTAACAATGAAGACTTTAACGTGCACGACATAGAAACGCCAGCAAACGCCGGTACGCAGTTTAAAGCCTGCTTGTAAGAGCTAATTGCTAGCCACCCTCTGTACAACCGCGTAACCTCTCCCACGAGATTTCGAACTGCTAACAAGCCGTCGATACTGGATCTTGTGCTCACTAACGAAGAACTCATGGTTGAAGGGATAGTTACAAGCACACCAGTGGGTCGTACTGATCGCGTTACTCTACTCTTTGACTATATATGCTATGCGGAGTACCCTGAAAAGGAGGATGTTAAAGTGCATAGTGTCACGCACTACAATGTGTTACCTACGCCTGGACTTTCTTAACAGAATTCCCCCAGATGTTGCCTGGGAAACCTTTACAATGACGTTTAGCACACTGGTAACGCACTCATCGGAACAGAATTCCTTCCAATCCTAAAGCAAGCATAAGTCATTTCTGAGGAACAGAACACGTAAATGTATGTCCTGGAGGGATCTAGCATGGAGAGATCACAAGGACTGTTTGAATGCCGAAACATAGACCGCATACGTGACACATCGTAACTTCTGTGTGAAACTGATCCGCGAAGACAAGGTCACGCATCAGCAGGAGTTAATGAAGCGATTCTGCATGGACCGCAAACTTCTGTACAGGCACGTTAACCGCCTTCGAAAGGTGAAGCGGGATATTCCAGCACTCGTCATGCCTGATGAGTGCACGCGATCAACAATGGAAGCAGCTGATCTCCTACGGCTTCATTACTCCCAGACTTTCTAGCGGGGAACGAGCCCAAACATTCTTCTCATTTCTAATATTCCACTATCTGGTTTAGACATCACTTCCACTGCGGTAGTTGTGTTGAAGAAGTTGTTATCCTTGCGTACCCACACTTTTGTCGGAGCCGAGAACATCCGACCAAAGGCTCTGCATACGGTAGCTAGTGATCTAGCAGAACCTCTGACTGTTTTCTATCAGCGATGTCTAGAAGAGAACCGCATTCCACCAGTCTGGAAGCGAGGGGTCATCACTCCTATCCATAAAGAAGGCAGCCGCACTGACCCTGCCAACTACCGTCCAATAACACTTCTTCCCATACTATCCAAAGTGTTGGAATCAATCATCGCCGATGCCCTGACGCAGTATCTGGAAAGCCACAAATTAATAGCTCCAGAGCAACATGGCTTTCGTTAAAAGCACTCGTGTAATACTAACTATTAAGTGCACGTAATAGCTGGACTGAAGCTGTTGATGGTGGAGTAGGAGCCGATGTCATTTACCTGGACTTTTCAAAAGCGTTTGATCGCTTAGACCATCGAATTCTCCTTCAGAAGCTTCGGGACTACGGCATTGATGACCCAATCCAGAGATTTATTAGCTATTTTGTGCAAGAACGAAGGCTAGTGGTGAGAGTCAGAGAATAGTTGTCTGATGTAATCGACGTTGTGTGTGGAGTACCACAAGGCTCGGTTCTTTGACCTCGTCTATTCTTGGTGTTCATTGACGATTTGGAGAGATCAATCGCTTCCGATTTCCTATTTTTCGCTGATGCTATCAAGATATGGCGAAAGATCAGAGGACCGGACGACCACGAACGGCTCCAGTGCGATCGTAACATAGTGTCGAACTGGTCAGTTCAGACCGCCCTGCCATTCAACGTAGACAAATGTCGCGTTGTACAATTGCGCCATAGACACAATTACACATACTTGCTTGGGACAAACGGATTGCAGACCAGCTCCTAGGAGC